TTTTGGGCAGTCGTCGCACTTAATGAGTGACAATGGTGCGCCGACGAGCTTTTGGGCTAGCAACGAGCCCAGCCGATCGCCATTCGTGTATCTGCCGGCGGACCACCGACGGTGTAGATCCGAACGGCTAGAGGAGGAGCCACTGCCTGCATGCAGCCTTGCGGCCTTGCAGGGGCCTTCCGGCTCGGTGCCTGGCTAGTCTATGGCGCGGCGCGGCCTCCCACAGCCGGGCGAGCTCAAGACCGACCGGATCTTTTCCAAACCCGGCCGCGGGGTGCGCTAATCAGGTGGCCGTGGTTGGGCAGCTCAGGGGCGTCGAGGGGAAGGGGGTTGGGCGAGCGCGCTTCCGAGCTGCACAGCTGCAATGTCAGCGGCGGCGACGGCCGGAGTGGAGAAGAGTGGACGGGGTGCGGCTGGAGGGGGGAGGGGGCTGATAGGAAAATGCGTCCCTGTGCCATCGTGGGCGGGCCAGGGGAGGACACGCGCCCATCCGCGCACTGTACGTTTCTCCCCAAAAAGCGGCACAAACTTGGGCCGTGGATGGGTCAAAAGCGGACAGAAAACGGACAAAAGTCCGTTTCCGTCCGCGCGTTGGGCCGTCTGATTTGTACGTTTTACCCCAAACGGACGGGGCCGGATGGGATGGGGGTCACGCGCTGGAGTTGGCCTTATGCAGGGTGGTGTACTAGTGTAGTTTGGTGACTTCTGGAGCTTGCCGAGTTTGCAAACGTGTGCGTGTGGGTGCGGAAAAGACTGCCTAATGCAAGGAATGATCTGGTGCACATGACGGACCATGTTGTCACTAGAGAAGCTCCAACGACGACGGTCCATGGCGGATCTGCTCAGATGTGTGCGGTTGATGGTGCTATACCTTGCGATCAAGCTATACCTCGCGAGGAGTGCAAATGCTTCCTGTGGTCGCCCTGAGTACACAGGGGTGCTGAGTGACGACGTACGCTACCTAGCACTACGGCGGCAAGTTATGGGCGTGTTGGGAAACTAGACTAGAGAAAATGGACGATACTAGGAGAGGGCTTTGGTCGGGAAGCTCACGAGGAGGGGGCTGGAGTAGTCAAACGGGCCTAAAGATGAACGACGACGAAATTTCTCTGAGGCGTGTTGGTGTTGGAGTCGAAGTTTACGGCAGAATTCGTCATCAGCCGGGCTCCTGAGTTTGCGTGTGTCAGTGTGGAGGAAGTAGAGGTGGCTGTGGGACCCAGGGCATGCTCGCATGGCTTGCAAAAAACGCTGGTCACATGGTCTCCATGAGCGCAAGCTCTTGAGCTCTGGGTCATGGCATGGGGAAAAGGTTGGAGGGAGGAGAGTTACCTTGCGGTGGCAAAAGGGAAGAAGAAGGGTTGGGGTTAGGGTTTGGGAGCGCAGATTGGCTTTACGGGTTGAGGAGCGCGGATTACCTTGCGGGCTGAAATAATCCTCATTTGAAGTTAAATTGAATTAAAATTATGCTCATGAGATGCTTATGAGATGATCATGATGCCCAACCAATTTCCAAGGAAAGTGTTGCTCCTGGATTGTTACATGAGTCTACAATAGTAGTACAGGTAGACATAGTGGGATGGGTGGACAAGGGCAGCACATGAGTGATAGGTGTATGGAAAAGTGAGGAAATAAATATCCTTAATGGAGGAGGCCGAATAAGAGGATAGGTGTCCATAGAAAGGACGAAACTCATCAAAATTCACGTTTCAAGAAATGTGTATCCGACAATCGATAGGAACCCAACACTGATAGACTTGTGCTCATCACTTTAACCTAAGAAAACAC